AACACCTCAATTGCTTAGGAGTCATTCTTGTCTACATCTGCTCCAGCGGTGAAACAATGGTGGACTGATGGCAACTCACTCAGGGCGGGTCTAAGGTAAGACGCCAGTCCAGTCTGTGCTGAAACGCTACTGTCAATCAAACTATCGTGGGAGGGGCCTGTATGTGTGACGTCACACAGACCGGCATCTGAGATCGGCTCGATTTGAGAAGGGAAAACATTTAACCAGATTTTTAAAAAAACACTGGGTGGATTTTTATCATTATAGGATGGTTGTGTACACACACTGCCAACACACATTTCAGTTAAAACAACTTGTAAAAGTGCATGTAGCATCCGATGACCCCTTTAAGTGAATACTTGCAAATGATCTTACATATTAACACAGGACACCAAAAAAAGAAACCCACAATACTGTACGTAAACATTCTGCACACATTTTAAACCAGACATACCAGAACATTACAAGTGATGTTGTACAACAGCAGTGCTTTTAAATAAAGGCCTTTTGTTTGAATTGTACAAGACTATTAGGTAGAAATGTTGCCCGATTCAGAGAACTCAATTGTAAGTATCTAGAGCAGTTCATCCAGCAGGTTTCCTGGGCTGTGCGTTTGTCCCAGAGCATCACTGACGGGGTTGTTGCATATGGGACATGAACATCTCACTTCCAGCCATTTCACCAGACACCTGGTAAGACAAAACATCAGAAACAATTCTTACCAGTTATACTTAAAGTAGGCCTACTGTAGCCCGTTCAAACCAAGAACGATAACTATAACAATAAAGTTTTAATAATCGTTCTACTTCTATGAGAATATTGAAGTCCATGCCACAGCTATAACGATAGGGTGACCCTACGTCCGATTTTCCAGTTTTCGTCATTTCTAAATTGTCTAAAATAATGTGTTTTAGCCTCAGGTTTGTTTTCCTCTTTATAGTCCTCATTGATTTCATGTACACTTATTTACATTGCTACAGCATTCTCTGTAGATCCCGCCTACTCGCACTCCACGATTGGGCGATTGCGTTCAATGCCTGCACGCTATTGGTCAAACTACTTTTCAATCACTACCTGGGGGGTATTCCAAAACACAGGTTATGTGACATACATGTATGTTTGAGGATAAGAGAGCGGATAACCTCAGCTTTCGGTTTCAAAATCGGAGGTTACTTTCAGGGTATGTAAGTAACCATAGTAACTTGCTCTCTGAAGATAACCTGCTCCGGAGCAGGTTATGTTCCAGGGTTAGTTCACTTCAGCGCACGTGTGATCTACTGACGAGCCTTCAGTGGACGTGACAGATAGCGCACAACATGATATAATATTACAATATGTAATATATCCTATTATTTTGTATTCTGTATGTTCACGCTCCACTTCATCTGCCAGTGAATTCAACGATCTTATCAGATCTTATCAGACCAGCCGCCATGTTTCAAACGATCCAAACGTAACACGCTTCCGCCAATCCCTGCCTTGAAGCAATGATTGACGGAGGGTGGGCGTGGTCAGCTCGGAATGCATTTTCAAATTGAATTTTGCTACAAATATCCCAAGGCGTCATGATGAAAATGCAATCCTTTAAGTTCTAACTGTTAGTCTAAATACGGCAGCGCGTGCTCATTATAAACAGAGCGTTATTCTACGTTGAGGAACGATATATCGTTGGATTCATGATAAACAGAGCGTTATTTTGATAATTATCGTGAGTTATCTTTATAGTTCTTGTTCTTGGTGTGAACGGGCTTTTACAGTTGCGAGGCACAGGCCATGTTGAGTTCGCTTCAATGAACCTCTTTTCTTTAATGGCATTAGCATGATAAAAGACATGGGAGGGATTTACCTCTTGTGAAAGGCGTGTTGGCATGGTAACACTCCGAGCTCATCTTTTGTCCTGAAGTCCTCCAAACAGACTGCACATGTTAACTGAGAAACACGATGTAACGTTACATGAGGGGAAATCAGAACCTTTAGAGTTTCAAAACTTTCCAAGTAGTCAAATAACTTTAACCTTTTAATAACTTTATAGACAAAAACTTTTACCCCGTGTGCATGTAACCGTGTTGTTTCATCGTTAAATACAACCTGTAATGTAAAACATAGTCGTTCATTTTTTTGTTTGTTTTACAATATAGTGGCAGCAAAAAGTATTTAGACCCTTCATAGACTTAGTTTATGAATTTTGCAACATCAACAATTATCGAACTGAATTAAATGAACATTGAACTGACTCAAGCTGAATAACAACATTGTTGCCTTTTTTTTTTTTTAGAGCTGCTTAGCTGAAATGAACTCATTCGAACTGAGCATTGAACCAGTATTGAACTGACTGGAGCTGAATAATGACACTTTCATCTTATGTAGAGCTGCTTTATAGCTGAAACTGAATCTCATATTTGAATTTTGCATAACTGATTCTGTTATTTTCCTGTTCATGTTGCTTTAAAGGCAGGGTATGTGATTTTTCAAAAACACTTTAGAAAACTGATTCGGGCCGAATAGCAAAACAAACTTGTAGCCAATCAGCAATAAGGGGCGTGTCTACTCGTGATGTGGAGGAGAGCGCGTTCAGTGCATGGGACGGACATTAGCCGAGCCGAGCTCTGCCTTTAAGACAATCTCTATTTTATAAAGCACTTTATGAATAAAGGTGACTTGATGTAATTGACACAAAAATGTCACTGCAATTAAGAAAACACCGCAAGTGTCAAGCACACTTTCTAAGCACATTTCCTCTGTTGGCAAAGATAAGTTTGAAAAAGAAGTGAAAAAGTAATGTGTTTGAGGTTAGTGAATGTGTTGATAGTTAATGTGATTTTCTACACCTGTGGTTCCTCTGATAGGACACCTGTGTGAACTTGAGGAGAACTGACTTCATACATCCACTAAAATCACCAAAACACCAGCAGACATGAAGAAAAGTGACATTAGTCAAGAGAAAAATCCTGCAGCATCTGAGAGGTTTTTAAGTGTGATGTAAGTGTCAAATACTTTCTGATACACTCACCATCTTGTATCCAGCTCTCACGTTGCGAGCCTGATGTCTCAATTTACTACAGAGAAAAACAGGCCATACAATTCATTAACATGAACAAAAAATAAAAATAAATACATATTTCTAACTTTAAAAAGTCTAAATATTATACAAATGTAATATTTTTTATTATTTCATTTATTTTTTAAATTTTCAATGCAATTTTTTTTTCTTTAGACATCACTATGGTAGTATAGGCAAAGGCTGTGCTGTGTCTTCTGTTTCTAAAAATTTGGCGAGAAAGGGTTTGTAGTTCCCAGTGTTTGACATGACATTAGCCAAAAGCCTCTGGTCAAAAATAGCATTGTGAACAAAAAGCACAGAGATACAATCTAGTCCTGAATTGTTCGAGTTCGGAAGCGCGTGAGGCCAGAGGAAGTCCTTTCTGCTCTGAGGCTGTCAGTCTGTCACAGGCGTTATTTACAGGACAATACTGATGAAGTCCAGTCACAAAGAAGAGTTTTAGAAACGTCACCCAGGATCTGCGTAGTCCACACTGGCTGTTCTGGTAACTACAGTCACACTTACCTTATAAAGAAGCAGCAGAATATCAGGCTTAAAACAAAGACAAAGATCCCAGTGCCAAAGATGACCACATAGATGTTGAGAGGGAGTTCCTGAGAGGTCACTGGAGGCATGGTGTTTTAAATATTAATCATTTCCTGAAGCCCTGAAAAAAGGCAGAACTTGATTGATATGTCATATACCCAGTTTCATAACAATAAGAGCCTGAACAAGCTTAGGGTAATATTTAGCTATTTTTAAGGTTAGAAAACCGAAGAAAAAGCATTACAATTTTAAAGCAGGCAGCATTTCTTTTTCAAACACGTTAGTACTTTTAACAGATAAAAAAAAAAAAAAAGTTATGGACCTTTGGATTAATCTGAACGATGAAGAAAACATATTAATACATTTACAATGACATTAAATATTAATTTATTTACGATATCTCACCATTATAAACAGGCTCCTGAGTGTCTTTACTTCAGTGTTTATTCTTCATACTCGGATCTCACGGTTCAAGCGTATAAACGGCTCAAATTAATAACTGACTGTTTAGTTACATCTACAATATTGAGAGCCTGTAAATGTGAATAAAATAAAGTCCCGACCGGATCACGGAGATCAATATCATCCCATAGCAGACAGACATGCATATCCACATGCACGAGAAAACATTAAACCCCGCCTGTAATTCAGGAGGCGGAGCCTAAATACCAGACGATTCACTCATTATTCAGTGATTCACTCCGTATAAAACTTCTCATGCTCATCAAATTAAATTGCACTATTATAAAAAGAAACAGTAATAATATAATATGATATGGTATAATTAGTGTGTATGTGTGTGTGTTTCTATTTCTATTATATAACATAAAACGTTTGTGACCTAAAGTATAGGCTATAAAAAAGTATTGCATGAATAGTTATTAATTTATCTGATATTATTTGTGATCTGATATAAAAAAAAAAAACGGCATAAACATTTCTTTACTTTTTTCAAAATGTTTTATTTGAATAACAAAAATCCAATAATCACAGTCAAAGCCTTAAAATTTGTTTTCCATGTAATTAAGAACAAATATTTAAAAATCAGAATAGACTATGTTTTTATCTAAGCTGTCTGGATTTTTTTTTTTTTTTTTTTGCCAATATTAAACCTCAAAAAAAAGGAGATTTTAAAAGGCATGTTTAGACAGAAGTCTGAAGAAATTTGGGCCAGTGGCTTTGTATCCTGGGCGCTGGTCATGCTGACTCAGTGGGTTATTTGTTCACACCCTGCTAACAAGTCTGACATTAGACACCAGAGTGAATTCACTGAAGATTCATTTAATATTTAATATAAAGCTATGAGAGTGTTCCTGCTAATTGCATGACCTTACGACTTAATTTTCAATTTTGATCACATTCTCGTTATGCTGGATATTCAACTATTGTGTTAGGATTAAGAAAAAAAAAACTTGGATCAACCTTAGTGCACCCCAGATCGTAATATGTTGAACATATATAGGCCTGTGCAAAATGTGACGGTAGAAATGTTTTGTTTTGGCATTTTATTTTATTGCTTTTTATACTGAAATTAATTAAGCTGATTGTAAATATTTCTGTAGACCTTTAGTAGTTTGTCTTTTAACAACATTTTCAAATAACAAATGATTGATTCCATGCTCCCTCACCAACTTCCTTATTCACAAACAGCCCTAAACATTCAGTGGTTCTGTGGGAACATTCAGCTCTGCTCTCTGGCAAACAAGATTTTAACAAAGGCTAAATGACACCACAGTGCAACATTCAGTGCAGAATTCTCCACTACAAAGTGAACTTAGAGTCAACCGTCACAGGGACAGTGAGGGCAGAGTTCATATTTCATCAGTCAGTCATTTTACTTGCGAATACTGAATCATCATGAAAATCGAAACATTTGCTAATGCAACATGCACTACATTATGTATGACTTGGCCACAGGGTGGCGCTATAATAAGGGTTTTAGAGGAATGAATAGTTCACCCAAAAAATGAAAACTTGCTGAAAATGTACTCGCCCTCAGGCCAACCAAGATGTAGATGAGTTAGTTTCTTCATCAGAACAGATTTGGGGAAATTTTGCTTTACATCACTTGCTCACCAATGAATCTTCTGGAGTGAATGGGTGCCGTCAGAATGAGAGTCCAAACAACTGATAAAAACATCACAATGAGTAATTCACACCAATCCGGTCCATCAATTAACATCTTGTAAAGAGAAAAGCATCATAAAGACATTTTTTACTTCAATCCGTGTTTAAGTTATATGTGCCATGTTAGTGCTTTATAGGCCTGTATAGACTGGAATCTAAATTTAGTTTTTACTTTGAGACTTGAGTTCATTCCCACAGTCCTGCATTATTTTTTTGTCAAGTAAAAAGCAAATAAACTAATGTACACAAAGCATTTTTATTCATCTCAAAATTTAACAAAATTGAAAAAAAAAAAAAAAACACTGCACAAATAAATAAAAACAGTGGCATGTCTTTTTTGTAGGCTACAATATTGCCTTTAAGTTTCATAAAATGAATCATCAATACATGGCCGTTTCTCATGTCATATTTTGTTTTGTTATGTTTTGCTGGAAATATAATTTAAACAGCTATGCATAAACAGACATTTCCAGATCAAGCACAAAAGCAACTTGGAAAATGAAATGATGTTTATTAGATTTCACGTACATTATAAATAAAATAACATTAATTATTTATGTTAACATTAACAAAATGTAATTTGTTGAACACCCCGTTTTGTCTCCGGCTGCATGCTCCCGGCTCAAAACTACAAAATTTGGTCCAAAACAAGTTTAATCTCTGAGCGATCAACACTTGTTCCTAAGACACAAACTGGCGTGTAGTTTAGATCCACGTACAGTGGAAGGTATTTGCAGTCCTGGCAGTAGTTCAGCTCCAGCTGTTGCAGTGAATATTTGTTAGATGTAACGACGACGAACACATACACAAATACAATAAACAGCTGTCCCCAATAATACAAATGTACAGAAATGACAATAATAGCACAATGCAGTTCATACAGCTACAGTCGGTACATTGTACTGCACTTGAGGATTTGCTGGATTTGTAAGTACAAGAAGACTGCACTTCTTACAGTATAGCTACTCTATATTACAATACCTTACAAAACAAGTTAAAAGAGACAACTTGAAACATGTAGAATACTTCACATGACATCTTTAGTATTTATACAAAGCACACGTCAATGATAAGTTAATGTGTAATAAAACTGACTGCAATTTGCATATAGTCTCATGTACAGTAGAGCTCAGTGTCATATCACATGATCTGATTCACTGTAATGAATGTGACCAGCTACATTACCTAAATGGAAATGCAAAACCGATGGATCATACTTTCAAACTTTCATAATATTAAAACAGTGCATCATAGGAAAATTTTGAATTTGTGTGAAAAATTGCATCTTCTGGATGACATAAGCTTCCTGTGACAACCTGGTCACTAAAATAACATTAATTATTTATGTTAACATTAACAAAATGTAAATTTTGTTGAACGCCCCGTTTTGTCTCCGGCTGCATGCTCCCGGCTCAAAACTACAAAATTTGGTCCAAAACAAGTTTAATCTCTTGAGCGATCAACACTTGTTCCTAAGACACAAACTGGCGTGTAGTTTAGATCCACGTACAGTGGAAGGTATTTGCAGTCCTGGCAGTAGTTCAGCTCCAGCTGTTGCAGTGAATATTTGTTAGATGTTACGACGACGAACACATACACAAATACAATAAACAGCTGTCCCCAATAATACAAATGTACAGAAATGACAATAATAGCACAATGCAGTTCATACAGCTACAGTCGGTACATTGTACTGCACTTGAGGATTTGCTGGATTTGTAAGTACAAGAAGACTGCACTTCTTACAGTATAGCTACTCTATATTACAATACCTTACAAAACAAGTTAAAAGAGACAACTTGAAACATGTAGAATACTTCACATGACATCTTTAGTATTTATACAAAGCACACGTCAATGATAAGTTAATGTGTAATAAAACTGACTGCAATTTGCATATAGTCTCATGTACAGTAGAGCTCAGTGTCATATCACATGATCTGATTCACTGTAATGAATGTGACCAGCTACATTACCTAAATGGAAATGCAAAACCGATGGATCATACTTTCAAACTTTCATAATATTAAAACAGTGCATCATAGGAAAATTTTGAATTTGTGTGAAAAATTGCATCTTCTGGATGACATAAGCTTCCTGTGACAACCTGGTCACTAAAATATTTGGGTGATGTTAGTGTTCTGGATGGTCACTATATGGTATCATGTGGTACATTGTTCTGTGTTGTTAGGGTGCTGTTGGCAGTTGCTAAGACATTGCTGTCTAGGTGGTTACTAAAGTGCTCTGAGTGGTTGCTAGGGTGTTGCAATGCCAATTATGTGGTCACTAGATTTTTTTAAGGGATTGATGTGTGTGTTTGTGGCAGTTGCTAATCGATTGTTAGCAACAAGAATGCATTTTTACAGAATGCATTTTTGCATTCCACGGTGCTGTTTTTCCTGTTGCATTATGTAAACGTGTGTGTGTAAACGTGTTTGACCGCTGCCATAGCGTCTTTAGTAGCATCTCCCGCATGACACGGGTGTTGTAAAAACGTGCGCTGCTTTTACATTCTTTTTTTTTGTAAACATGCGCTAGATGGACGCATTTTTGACTGTTGTGTTTGCAGTGTCTCGCACATGACAGCGTTCTAAATATCAGCACTAAAACGTCTATGAAACTGGCCTTTACCCCCTATTCCACTACACCACATCTGGCATTTCTAAACATTAAAAAAAAGCATTCTATGTGAATGGCTCCTAACACGTTTTTGCATTCTACTGCATGACGTTTCCATCGTTTTTTATGAGAAAATGTGCTAGATGGACGTTTTGATCGTTGCGCTCGCATCTTTTGCCTTCTACAGAGTCTCACGCATGACAAGGCCTTCTAAACGTGGCGCTCACATTAAATTAATGTCAACGTTTAAAAACGTGTTTCTGGACGTTGCATTTTTCTATTCCGCTACTCAATATTGTTATCCACCTTAATTCTTCAACGGGGAAGAAAATTCAGGTTCATTATCAGCTAACGTTATAACGAGAAGGATAACAACGTGCAGTAAACGGTCAAACTGTTTGCGCTACAAACCAGTCTGTTCTTAATTAAGGTAATACATTAAAATAATATGGTAAGACACACCAATTTGCAATATCAAGCAGCAAAACGAGCTGTTTTGTACAGCTAAAAATAGCTGGATACCGATTAGGCCGGAAGTCAGGCCCATAAAATTTACAAATGGCCATGCCAGTTTTTAATGAAAAATAAGGTGGACAGGTGGTCAGCAAATTTTAATACTTATATAGTTATATTTTGTCTTCAAATCTTAAGTATGAGCAATAGCAACAGGTGCTTGCTTAAAATCTGTTCAAGATGGCAGACGTTTTTGTTTTCCATATTTGTTTCCAGCACATAGCCCAAGTCTGGAAAATCTATATCACATTCGAATCTCATCCTAGCACATTCTGTCTGTCCAGTTAATTTTGAATTGTATGCCAATGGTGCCATGACCTAATTTTTGTCATGCACAACGAAATGAATTTGCGGCGAGCATAAACCAGGCTCGGGGCCATTCACAACATTTTTTTATTTTTATTTTTTGCATTCCACTGTGCTCATTTGCCTTTATTTTTCTCTGTAAAAATGCACAAGACAGACATCTTGGACCAATGCCTTCGCTTCTTTGCAGTGTCTTGCACATGACAAACTGTTCTAAACTTGTCTACACCTTGTGTTGTTCTAATTAAACTTGCATTTTAAACACAAAAACGTGTTTTGTGTGAATGGCCCCTTTTAACGAAAACACTTGCGTCATTCTCTGCGGCGATTAACTCAGAGCAAGCTACAGCAACATTTCAGTGGGTGGTCACATGAACAGATGTGAACATTTAAGAGTGAATAAGGCATTACACACATTACTAGAGGTCCTGATGTAATAAGGCATTTCTACTGACCGCAGGAGGACAGCTGGAATAAACTAAATTCAGATGCTACCATTGGCTTTATGTTGCATTGCGGCTGGCGCGCAGTACGCTGTCCAGACCGCTGAGCTGCCGTAGGAAACCGCGGTTTGGCGTGACGCCACGGTGGTCCTTCACGGTCTTGATGGCCTCTACTAAAGTCATGTTCTGCCGAATCATGAGGTAGGCGAGAACCAACGTAGCAGATCTGCTCAGCCCGACGGCACAATGCACAAGAACCGTTCCTGCAAAATAAGTCACTGTGTCAAAATGTTCATATGAATGGCAAAATTCATGGCAAAATTCATAGCAATGACATAGCAAATAATAAAACATCCTCAAATTCATGTACATTTTCCAACTTTTACTCAAATTATTATACTGATAATTTAATTTGTGATTAAAACCATTTATTAGAAAAGAATAGAGAAATGGAAGATTTTTTACTTGTGGTCTTCGTGGATTTTTGGATCACATTCATATGCACACTTTTATGTAAATCTTTTTTTATACAAGCCACATATAGGCACACAAACATAAATCACAGGAATAACAAATAAAAGAAAACCACGAGGCTATTGGCGCAGACAGAGAAATACATTTTTAATAGTAACTGATAGCCAAACTTTTTGTTTAAGCCATGTGTTTGTATTATTTTTATCCATAGTCATGTTCAGTAGTGAAAAACTACATTACCCAAGATACTGAACAGAAAATATCACCAATCAGAGAACCGCCAAAAGAGCTCCACCCACTCCTGTGAAGAACCACCAATGATGTAATCCAGTTTCCCCTCCTACCCTATCAAAATGCTTGAATATTTGTATATGCACATTTTACAATAAGCTTAAAATATATTGTTTCTATCGATATAATTAACAACTGACAAATAACTACTTTTATATTTCACAATCGTTTTTTAATTCAATTGTCATTTACAGTGCTTCATGGGATTGTAGTCCTTTCCTTCACTAAAGCTGTTAAATACAGTCTTGTACCTCTTTTTTTCCAATTTTGCTTCAAATAAAAGTTTGTAACATTGTGATTTGCTTTAACAAACCCCATAGGAATTTTTATAGGAAAAAGGAATGGAAAAAATACTTCCGGAACCAATGCTGATGAAAAAGTGAGTGGGAAATAATGCACTATATAGCATCACATAACATGTAAAACCCCTTTTGCTTTTGATTTTAAAGGGGTCATATGATGCGATTTCAAGTTTTCCTTTCTCTTTGGAGTGTTACAAGCTGATTGTGCATAGGAAACTTCAGGTTGAAAGAAAAAGGCCCCTTATGAACTGACCTCCGGTACAAAGGGCTCTGTGAATGAACTCGGCTGCTGGGTAGAAGTTGACACTCATGTCGAAAGAGGGCGAGTCGTGGGCTTCAATGCCGTGATACGTGATGTTCATGCCAGCGTAATACTCCGCGCCGCCTCTCCATTTGCTCTGAGCACAGTTGAGGATGTGCGTGATCCCGAGCTTGACGAGTTCTTTGCGGTTTGAGGCAATTTCTCTGCAAATTTAAGTGAGAAATTTATACACAGTACAAAATATACTGGCAATTTCTAGTTTACCTATCTAAACAGGATAAAATTTCACTCTTTTACTGCTATTTCATGCTTTGTTAAATGCATTATTCAAAGCAAGGCATTTTATGATCCATGAAGTTACATATCTTTTTTTGTATGAGCAACTAAAGCATAATCTTGTGTTCAGCATCCTGTATATGGCCAAAACTGCAGATATTCATGGGCTACTTACTGGTCACCTATGTAGAGTCGTGGCCACACTTCATCTGCATGATTACAGGCGGTTTTCCCAGTGTACAACAGACGCTCAAGTTCAGCAACAGTTAGTACAGGAGAGCCTTTCTCTGAGTCCTTTCTGCTGGGAGATCTGGAATTACTCCGTGACCGGGACAGTCTGGACATAAATGTCATCTGGACTGGCCTTCAGTGGAGCTATAAAATAACACTGAAAATGTATACAAAATAAAAGTAGCAGTTTAAAAAAAATTAAAGGGACAGTTAACCCCAAAATTAAAAATGTTGACAGATTTTTCAGGTTAAACAAATAATCATTACTTATACTATCAAGAAAACAACCAATACAATTCTATTTTATATATTTACATTATCAAGAGTGTTGGGGGTAATACATTGCAAGTAATGCAAGTTCCGTAAACATATTACATTTTTAAGTAATTATTAAAGTATCGCATTACTTTTTAATTTAGAAGGAAATATCGGAGTTACTTTTTTCAAATAAGTAACTCCGGTTACTTTGTTTCCCATGTATTGACTTACAGCTCGTGTGTTGCCATGTTGAGAGAAATCGGGACTAAGTGCAGAGGCGTTGTGTGCGCTGTGTGAACATGATGTTACTGTAGTTCTAGACTACAGGTGCATCTCAATAAATTAGAATGTCGTGGAAAAGTTCATTTATTTCAGTAATTCAACTCAAATTGTGAAACTAGTGTATTAAATAAATTCAATGCACACAGGCTGAAGTAGTTTAAGTCGTATGCATTTACTCATCTCACCTGCACAAAAACAGATTCGGTATTCCTCAAAATAAATAAAAACAGTCAAATGCAAACTCAAGACTATTATACAAACCTGCAATAATTAAATGTTAAATAAGACAAATACCATTTATGCATTTAAACCTATTTTATTAACCAGTGTCTTTGCTACTGACCTTCGATGATACAGTTCAACCTAATAAGCAAAAATGACACGTTTCATTTTTGTTATTGCTGCATAGTGTTGAACTTTCTTCTCCTGCGTCATATTCTTCATGCAATTTGCTTGAGCTGCACCCTCTACTGTACAGACATGGATTTACATTTCCTTCAGCCTGAGGCGTATTCATTTCACTTTTGTTGTGAAAGGGCTTTTACATTTGTAAAAGAAGAACTTTTTTATATTAAAAACAAACAAGCAAGCCCTGCCCAGATTTAAAAAGTAACGTAACGCATTACTTTCCATAAAAAGTAACTAAGTA